CGTACGAAAAAAAAAAAAAAAAAAGAAAAAGAAAAAAGGAGATCGTGAGACGAAAATATACGCGAACCTACGGCCGAACGTTCGCGTCCTCGCGGTTTTTCCTCCTTCGTCCCTTTCTTCTTCACGCCGACACGTGACCGAAGCGTCTTTCGCGTATCTTCTTCGTTCGTTCGTTCGCTCGCTCGCTCGCTCTTTCGAGGGGCCTTCGGGGGATTTGGAGCGAAGTCGAGGATCGCGCGAAATGTTTGCTTCCCCTCGTGACAGATCAATTTTTCTGCACGTTGAACGCTTTTCGCGCGCGTTTGGCGAATGGAGGAGAAAAAACAGCGGGGAGACTCCGAGGGAAGAACGGATTTTCGAATGATGGAACTTTCGAGTTTTCGAATTTTCAAATTCTCGAATTCCCGGGTTTTCGAATTCTCGAATTCCCGAGTGTTTGAATTTTCGAATACTCGAATTTTCGAATTTTCGGCTACCGAGCTTTCGATTTCTCGAGTTTTGAAATTCTCGAATTTTCAAATTCCCGAATTTTTGAATTTCCGGATACTTAAATCTTTCGATCCCCGAATTTTCAAATTCCCGAGTTTTGAATTTTCGAATACTCAAATTTTTCGACACCCGAATTTTCGAACTTTCAAATCCCCGAATTTTCGAGTTCCCCAGTTTTTGAATTTTCGAGTTTTCCAATTCTCGATTTTTTTAATTACTGAATTCTCTAATTTTCGTGTTTTCGAAGTCTGGAATTTTCGAATTTTCGAGTGTTCGAATTCTCGAATTTTTGTATTACTGAATTCACGAATGTTCGAGTTTTCGAAGTCTGGAATTTTCGAATTTTCGAGTTTTCGAATTCTCGAATTTTTGAATTTCTGGATACTTAAATCTTTCGATCCCCGAATTTTCAAATTCCCGAGTTTTTGAATTTTCGAATATTCAAATTTTTCGACACCCGAGTTTTCGAATTTTCGAACCTTCAAATCCCCGAATTTTCGAGTTCCCCAATTTTTGAATTTTCGAGTTTTCCAATTCTCGATTTTTTTAATTACTGAATTCTCGAATTTTCGTGTTTTCGAAGTCTGGAATTTTCGAATTTTCGAGTGTTCGAATTCTCGAATTTTTGTATTACTGAATTCTCGAATGTTCGAGTTTTCGAAGTCTGGAATTTTCGAATTTTCGAGTTTTCGAATTCTCGAATTTTTGAATTACTGAATTCTCGAATTTTCGAGTTTTCGAAGCCTGAAACTTTCGAATTTTTGAGAAATACCAACGAAGGAGAAGACATCAAACTGGAAAGCGATTCCGCGAATGCTCTCGACAGGCACCAAGTCTCTCGACAACCCCCCGCGACGAGGAGCGTTTCCGCGCTTTTCTCCGTTTCTGCCCCCTCCAAAAGAAAAAAAAAAAGAAAAAAAAAAATAAAAAAAAAATAAAAAAAAAGAACGAAACAAATTCGTTCGCGTGTTTTCGCCTCGCCGCCTACTTTGTACAACCGACACTACACAGTGTGTGTGCTATTCTCGTTTGCTTAATAAATATTCGATAAATATATAATTGTATTTCATCGCTGTATATATATCGTCGTATTGCCGTAATAATAATAGGTAGTAATAATCGCACTATTCGTTATTCGTCGTCGTTTCTTTCTTTTCTTTTTTTTCCTCTTTCGTTGTTTTACAATTACCAGTGTGTCGTTAAGTACCGTTAAACTTTATATTTATATATATATATATATTATTATTATTATTATTATTTATCATTAATAATATTATTGTTACCGTTATTTTCGTAGCTGAACTCGCACCTCGCATGCTCGTGCGTTTCTACGTTCTATTGAATCCCCTCTCCCCCTCTCTGACCATCCACCAACGATAACGGAAAAGAGAAAAAGGAAAGAAGAATCTTCCCTTCCTCTCGTCCCCTTCCCTCCACTCCCCCCTTCTCGTTGATCGGTGCTCACCAATTTTAATCAACCATTAACTAACGCGTCTATAATAATGTACATGTGCACGCGTAATGCAACGTTACGCGTCTTCAGTCCCCCTCTCGGTAAGCTTAAGTACTACGCTGAACGACTCAACCCCCACCCCTTCGACACTCTTTTTTTCACACTCCGCTTAATTGCACGCAGAATCAACGACGTCTCGACTTTCTCGAATCTGTTTTCTCCACGCACGGTGTCTTCCCCCCCTCCCTTTTCGTTCCACCGTCGGAGGTGAACAGTCACAGAGCGGGTGGCCCGGGATATATATCCAGTCGAATGTTTTCTTCACCTCCCCCTCCCCCCCCCTCGCTCGCTCGAAGCCGGATGTTTTCCTTTTCCGGATCGAGACGCGCGACTACTAGTCGC